GGAATTGAAAAAGGGATGTTTGTTTCTCTGAAAAGGAAGAAAAATGCACTTGGGATTTGCATACCTGCCCCTTTCTCTGGTTGAAGTCTCAGTGTATCTATCAGCTGTTTTGGAAATATACAGATTTGTCTTGAGGTGACAGATCATTTGGAAAAAGATGAATGAGAATGAGATGCTTTTACTTAATGGAAAGGGCGACAAATCTTCTGTTTGGGCTGCAGAGGTCTGTAAATGATGATGTTGCCTTTCACATCCAAGCTCACAGGTGAGAGATCCCTGTGTTCAGGTTGCACAGTTCAGAGATAACTGCATAGTATTTTCACCAGTTTTAATGGCCACATTACTCATATTTACATTTCTTTTTTAATTGGACATTTGGAGGAAAATTTATTTGGTAGTTCTCCTGTGTTATAATTTTCATCTTCAACAACTTATTAACAAGCACAGCCTTGGTCAGAATGTGTTCAGAAGACCTTGCCTTCCTAAAAGTAATCTGTACAAGGATAATGAAGAGTCTAATTATCATTGCAGTTGCAAACTAATTCTCAAATACAAAATGTACCTCCCATATAATTATTGTGATCAAACTGGATTCTTAAATCATTTATCATGTTTAACAGGAATGTCTTCTAAAAGTAACCTGGCTTGGTACTATAAGAGGCAACCTGTATTCTTGTTTTACTGTTCTTCTGGCTTTACTGTGCACTGGGAATCTGGGGGATTTTTTTAGGTACTATCCGTGAGTATTAGTCTAATCTGAAAACCAGGCTCCAGATTCCTGCAGATAATTAAGAATTATTTTGCGGTGTATTAAAGTTCCATTCATTCTCCCTCATTAATGTGTCTTGAGTCTGTCCTTCCCTTTCTTGCCATTTTCTTTTGACACCTCAAAGGTATCATTTCCATGTAGAAAGGATTCTGCATTAAAGTTTTTATTCCTGTCCTCTGTTTCTTGTCTTCTCCTTCAAGCAATTACTCTGTGAAATGTGGAAAGTAAACAAACCTGATCATATTCTGGCCATCTAAGGTGAGCCTTTTCCTTCTTCACTTTGTAAGGTATGTAAACAAATCACAGCTTCATAAGTACTCTTTGACATAAGTCAGGAATGGGTTGATACCAATGGCTGACCTCCAACTCCAAGATGAAGGGGAAGAAACTTATGTTCATATAACTTTGATATGTTGGTTATAATGCAAAAAAAATATTCTGGGGTTCAGAAGTTAAATGCTTTCTGAGCTGCTGCAAAATAAGATAAAAAACTCCTCCTGGTTTAATGGCCTTGTCAAGTTGTAATGCACAAATTAAATAGGTAATCTCTTATAGTGAATTGGTCTTAAACTTCAGTAGTATCAGAGCCTCCAAAGCTTCAGAGGAACTGCCCTGGCTCCAGGGCCAGGTGTTTTTGGAAGTTATATCATGCTTTACTGTGCTGTGAATCTGGTGTCCATAGGCTGGATCTCCAGAGAGAGAAGAGTCTGCTCCCTGGTTGCTCTGTGTCCAGCAGCAGGGAAGGGGAGCAGCTCCCTGTGGGGAAAAGGAACTGGGAGCCAAGCACAGGGACAGGCAGTGGCCTCACCAACAGGACACGCAGGCAGGCAAAATTAGTGGATTTGGAATAAATTTTGCTGCACTGAACTTCCTAAAACTAATATTTAAGTATTTCTTTAGGATAAAGAATTATGTAAATGTACCATGAAAGCCCTAGTGGTGGGAAAAGTGTTTGAAGTACTTTGCAGATTTGGAATTACATTCTTAATCTGTATGGGTTTTTTTTTTTAGTTCTTCCTGTAATTTGTAATGGCTTTTTTCCTTGGAGCTTATATGTCTCCTCATTTTGACCTTAAGTTCTATGCCTAAGAATGTTCTAAGTCATTACAAAAAATATTCAACAGTTACTGTAATCTGTGCTCTGTCTTTTGGATTTTTCAAATAGCAATCTTTTCAGTAATGCATATTTGTAGAATGTTCTGTCTGAGAAAGAAATTCTGTATCAAAATGAAGAGGCATTTTTCAACTATAAGTACAAATTTACTTTTTACAAATTCAAACTAATAGTTTTATTACAGTGGGAAAGTTAATGCAAAAGATCAGTGGTAGCAGAGGTCATCCTCCTGTAGTATAAAATACCAAATATTCATGGCAGTTAGTGTAATGTAAAGATACAACTTTGTGTTGAAGTCAACATGAACCTGAAAATTACTTCTGCAGTTTGGATCCTTGATTTGAAGAGAGGTTTTGGCTCTTTGCTTTCCTAAGAAAGAGAACAGCATCTGTTTGAAGTGAATTACTGGTTGTTTGGTGGAGGGGAGGAGTGAGGCAGTTCAGTGGAGCTACTAAAATCCATTTTCTTTTGCTCCTAAGACTAGTGGGAACAAGGACTTCACCTGTACCACAGAAAAAGGGACAGAAAATACATGTGATAAAGATGCTGTACTTGTGGGTTGTTGGGGAGAAACTCTTTCTTCCTGCCCCTGTCTTTAAGAAAATACAGGGTTGTACAACAGCAAGCTGTCTTCCTGGACTTTCTTCCCTTTTTTCCTTTTAAACCTTTCTAGAAAAGCGACTGTACCAGTGTTGAGAATCACCTTGCAACTCCTGTTTTTGCTTTCATGCCTTTTGTCACTGCTGTGGTAACTGTGTCATCATTTTGTAACAGGCAGCCACCCAGAAACTGCTCATCTTCAGCAACTCTCCCTTTTCCAAGACACCAGCAGCAGTCTGTGCGTGGGTGTGAGTGTGGAACTCAGCCTGGCCATCCCTACCTGCTAAGAGTGTAACACAGGTGGGAAGCAGTGGGTTTAATAGGAACAGTTTGTCTTGTGCAAGACATAGGTGCACCAAACAGAGCTTAATTAGATAATTTTGTGGCAGGATAGTCAGGACAGTGTGACATCATAGAGCCTCAGACCTGTTTCATTTTGAAGAAAATGTTCTATATTGTATTTCCTTAGCCAAACAAATCTCAGTCTTTGGGATTTGGGAGTCATGAATGATGAGACTTGCATTGTTTCTTGTGGACATATGAACAGGAATAATGTGTACTTTGTGTATGAAATTACATGAAGGAAAGCATTGCTATCAGTTTTCTTAAATTTCTCTTAAATATTAGATTTTCTAAATTTCAGACAACTTTTATCAAAAGAGGCTCCTCTGGCCACTGTTGCCCTAAATACAAAACTTACATAAATTAATGTATCCAAACATAATGAGATCCTGATGATCTGAGGGCATTTGCACAACAAATCTCAAGTAGACTTTGATTCACCTTTCTGTTGAATCATTGTGCTGTACTTGTCTTGACACAGAAGAGGCTATTTTGAGAGCATATGGCCTGGAAAAGTATTTCTAAGCAGGTGTAATGGAAATTCTTCTCATAATGGCTCCAAGTAATTCAGATAAGTATGTCATGGATGGTTGTTCCTGACATGAGGAAGTATATAATGTATAGAAATGGTGACTTGTGGAATACTGACTTTGAAGAACCTCATTCTTTGCAATAAATGAGTTCCAAATGTATAAAATCCTGGTACAACTGCATAATGAAGGTGATTCACTTATGTTTCAAGGTTTTTTCAAACTAGAAATTGCATCAGCTGAGATAAATTTTAGTGATTTATTATTATACCAGTCTACACCTAAATATTCAACTGGAAGAGGATTTAAGTATTTTTAAAGTTTGGACATTTTTTTTTCTGTATTACTTGGATTTTTAAAAATAACTCTTTGTGGAAAAAGAAAATAACCTTTCTAACGTAACTCTCCATTAACATCTGTCTGAAAACATTCATCCTGCTTCAGGTGGTGACAAGGCAGAAAGAAATGACTACTGCCTTTTTAAATCTAAAATGATGCATGTGAAGAATTCAAGTAATTATGTTTCATATATTTGAATGGAATGATGGCTTTACAAATTAGTTTTAGGTGCTGTTACTGTTTTACTGAGAAATACTTATCAAATCTTTTAGGATTTATTGCATACAGAGGTGTGGTGAAGGAACCTGCTGGCTTTGCATATAATTACTACAAGTTTCATTGAGGTGAAATTGTGATGCAGATCCTGGAATTTTACATGGGGAGAAGAGTTTAAAAAAAAGTTTGGCGTGTTTATGGTTGAATATAAAACTTTAACTGTGGTCAGTCAATATGTAAAATGATGCATATAAACTTTTAATTTTGTTTGAGCTGATCTAGATTATTTTGAAAAGTGAAAAAGGACAATGTTAAGCTCAGAATTAAAAATCTCAAAGATTTTAATTGGTTTGCCATCTGTTCTTTAAAAATAAGCATTTGAATTGGCGTCTCATTTTAGTATTTGTTGACGTACTAATAGACGTAAAATTAAATTAGAACTCAGTTCCAACCTCCCTCAGTCTGACCAAACCTGATCCAATTATCTTGTCCTTCACCTCCAAATCAGTGAAAGGACCCGAGTGAAATTGTAAATTCAAAATGTGGAGCAGCATAGACTGACCTCATCCACATGGTTCAGGTTTTGTGACATCATATGGCAGCAAGAAGAGGCAGGACATTGGAAAAAACAGAGCTCTCAATAAGATGATGTTAAGGGACATGGAGGAGTCAGATGGTTACTTGGAGGTTTGCCATGAAGGATGTATCTCCTATATCATACCCTCAAGGATATGAGGTGTTTGTAATGGAGCAGAGAGTACAAACCAGATTTCCTCACAGATCTGATAAAAGAATTGGCTGTGAAGTCTAGATGGGGCAGAAGGGGGGCTGCATGCCTGGAAAACCTTTTCGAAGAGAAAGAAGAAAGTGGAAACCAATGTAAATCTCTTGTTATTTGCTTGCAATTTTTTTACTTCAGCATCCTTCAGAAAAAGGCGCAATTTCTGCATCTCAAACTGCAATGTCATCTGTAAATAACTGGTTTTTAGAGATTTTATTTTAAACAAATTTTAATGCAATTGAATTTTCAGATGCCATAAGGTTAAGTTCTGGGATGCAGAAGAAACAAAGAAGGATTGCTGCCTGACACAGGCTTATCTTAATCACAGTAGGTGCTTTTTTAATTTTCAAGATTCTGTTCTCAAGTTTCCCGAATTAATAACATAAAAATATAAGAATGTGTCTGGATTTTTAGTGGGCTTTTAAATTCTGTTTTAGGGTTTTAAATCCCTTCAGATCTAGGAGAATCACCCTGCATATAGCTTCCCTCCACACATCCATTACTGGGAAGAAATTTTTCACTTCATGGAACTGAGAGGTGACAAGATCCCAGAGCCTTCTAGAGAGAAACTCAATCTTGTCCTTCTGGGATTGCAACCCAGTGTTTTCATGGCTGGAAGATGACTAAGGCACAGTAAAGTTGGGAGCAGAATTGTACCTATACCTGCTTTCCAGTCATCTTAGTACGTTGGCTCAGCAGTTTCTAAAGCTGAATAAAAACTGCTTATGCAAATAGAATTTTGAAGTGGTTTCATACATTTAATGAGTTTTAATTCTGTGGTTCTAGGCCAAATAAGTGTATAAAAATGTATTTGTTGTATCTGCCTAAATCGAATGTAAAATTGGAAAGGAAAGCCCAAGGGATGCACAAGAGACATAAAGAGGGAGAAGAGAGAATGCGGAATCTCTGTCCTTGGAGATATTCAAACCAGGGTGTATAAGGCCCTGAACCAGTGTATTTAGCTTCAGATTTGGCTTTAGTTTGGTGGTTGCAGCAGGTGGCCTTAAAGGGTTCTTTATGACTTAATTTATTCTATGCCTGTACGATCTTATGAATAAAAATAATGCCGTTTGCAATTGTATTTTATTTTCAAACTGACTTGAGTATAAAATGTCTCATCAGTAGCACCTTGCCATTTACATTGAAAACTGACAAGATCAAATTTGTAACACTATTTAGTGGAAACCAGTATAAAAGTTATATTGAGTGAGTTGGATTGATTATTTTGAAAGAGAGAACACTTTTGGCAACTCCCATTGCTTGCTTCAGTCTGGGCTGAGAGATTTGAAGAGTGGGAAAACAGAAAGGCAAGTTTTCTTTTTGGGGTATAAAGTTGATGTGATATTGAAGTGACAAAAGGAGGCCAAATAATTATATTGTTCATATTTTTCCTTACAGAATAAATAAAAATCCGGGTAACTTCCTAAAGTGTCAGGATGGTGTGAAAGACTTGATCATCAACATATTGCAGTTGCACCACTGCAGTTTCTGAGGCATTTGCTAGAAAGAGCAACTGCAGTAAAACATAATCAGCACTTCATCTCATTATTGTGCAGACTGTTCAGAGCTGCTGGAGGTTCCACAGTGCCATGTGTGCACATTTGGTATGCTGCAAATAGTGGTAATTTAACAATAAGAAAATGCTTGCAAATCATGAGCAGAAGCAGCAGCAATTGTGGTACTGTGTCCTGAGGCCTAAGTCTCTTTTTCATGGTTAAAAATTGAGATCAGGAATTCAGGTTCTCTTACTTCCCCCAGCAGAAATGTGTGTCCTGCTTTAAACCAGGTTGTTTTCTAGGCTGGCTGAGCATCCAAAGCATCTTTTGAGAGCTCTGAAGGCTGAGCTGGTGATGAGATGAGTGTTTGAGCTTAGACTTTGTTACTCTGGGACAAGTAACGCTTATTATTTGTAATTTCGTTCCAAGTAACACTCCTGGTACTTTGTTTCACTTCTTGTAAATCTCAGTTGTTCTTCCTGCATTTGTCTGATTATTGGCCAGTTCAAGTCACAGACACAGGACGGGGACCAAAGTCCACGACCCAGAGTTCCCAGTCTGAGCCACGTGTCCTCCTTGGAAGAACAGCTATATCCTACTTTATTTTTCACCCTATCCCTGTGCACCTCAGTGTACAATCTCTCTGCAGAAATACAAACCTCAGCAGCAGTAGTGGAGTTTGCCCCAACCCCAAACTGCTGGTTTGAATTGCCTAAGGAAAGGCAAGATGGCAGTGAGGATATGGATCTCTGAAGGCAGAGGAATAGATATTTCTTATAAAAAAATAGAAACAGTTTAGTTGCTTTGGTTTTGGTGGTACCCTTTGCAGGGAGTAGTCTGGCAGATTTGAGACAGAGCTGGGCTCCCTTTTGAAAGGGTAAATTGTTCTTTCATAGCACAAAACAGGTTTGGTTGGTCCAAATGATACTTAGTTTAAAGTTATGTTGTTAAATAGTAAAGGATATAAAATTCAGGTTATATTCTGTCTCTTCCTCTAGGAAGTGTTGTGTTTTGTGAACATTTGAACACAGATAACAATGAAGTTAATGAACCATGGATGTCTTGATACATTGAGTAGGATTTTAATGGGGATAATATCTTGTGAAGTCTGTAGTTAGCATTCATTCACAACTTGAAGCAGATGGAAATCTTAGGAAAAAAAACTACTTGGCAAAAGCCAGCTGGTTAAATATGTGTATATTTACATGTCTCACCATTACCTGTGACTTGGTAATGGTGAGAAGTGTGGGCAGGACATTGTCACCTGAAAATACTTGGAAGAGGGGTGTACTATGAGGGAAAGAATGGTGTAGAGTATCTGAAGGATGAGATGAATTCTTCAAGATAAATATTTCCCTTTTCAAGACTTGTATCAACCTTCACAGCAAGGGCATTGTATTTTCTTGATGAGACAGTTTACCTTACATTTGTTGCAAGTTAAGAAGTTGGTCAATTAATTTGCTGGGGATCAGCTTATCTACAGTAACCTGTTGAGGTGTTGAGCTGGAGTATAAAATACCCTGTTAATAAAACCAAGGGAACACAATTCCTTGAATACTTTACGTTATCCAGACAGAAAAAAATCATGAATTTGCATGTGGATTAAAAAAAGTAATAATCTGAGTTAATGTGAGCAAAGCACTGTACCTGACAAATCTTGGTGACTAAGTCTGAACAAGTTGTGTTCCTTCTGAGCTGTGCCTCCTGCAGCAGCCTGGGTTTGAGGGGATGTGGTGATGGGATGATTTCATCATTCTGCTGCTTAGTTAATCCCTCTGAGTAGAGACCATGTGGTTGATGGTAGAGTTTTGTTTAAAACCTACCTGTGGTTGCTATGAGTGGATTTCCATATCTGCAGACTATTTCACAGACACAATAAGAAAATGCCGTTCTAACTGAAAATAAGCACTATTTTAGAAAACTCGTTTCTGGATACAGGAAAAATGTATTTTGGATACACCTTAAATACTGCCTTTGTTTTTTTGTGGAGTGGTACCACACAGACTAATGCAGTAAAGCTTAGATTGAGAAATAAACCTTATTCTATTGGAATAAACCTTGTACCTTTCAGGGAATATTGTAGAGACTTAAACTTCTGGTTTGTGCCACTGAGTTTGCATCTGTAGAATGATTCTAAATGAATGCTCTGTTATCTGGAATACACACAGGGATACCTCTTTCTGAACAGGAGAGTATGTGAGTAGGTAAGTGCTGAGAAAGATAAAAAAGGAAGGAAAAAAGCAGAAGCAGTGGTCATCTTATTTCAGGCATAGAGGTGAAACAGCAGATGTACTAAGGGACACTGGCAAATTACAGATGACTTTTGTATTGGTGATGGATTGGCTGAAATCGTGTGCTTTAAGTGACTGTGATGGCTGAGGGAATCTAGGGCTAATTGGTGGTAAAACCACACCAGGACTTGGGTTCTGAAACCAAGAGCTATAAAATCTTGTATGGGGCAGAATGTGCTCAGCTAGACATAATTAAACAACAATATCTGTATTGAAGCTTGCCAGGTGTCCTGCTTGCTGCTCTGAGGAGGCTCAGTGAACTGGGGCAAACATGCACAAATCTCTCTCGGATCTTGCATCACAGCGAGTACAGGTGCCTAAAATTAAACACCTAAATAAGCTGTCTGGATTTGAGAATTCTCAAAGCTCCCATTAAAGAAATTAATGCCAAAGGAGAGCAAGTTCCAGTAACAGTGGGAGGGGTGAGTTATTTGAATTGCTGTTGTCAATAATTTTGATTTCGGTCGTAAAGCTAAGGCTGATACTCTGCTGACCAGTAAATATTGTCTATTGATTCTGTCACCTGAATTAATGTCTCTGAGCTGTATCCTGCTTCCCCTTAGTGCTCACTTTCATAGTATTGGATGCAAGAGCCAGAAGCAACATAAAGTTATAAATTATTTTCATAAAACTTCATTTTGGCCTGCATAAAACTTTACCAAATGTATAACCTGTGTGAATACTTAATTGTGATAGTTAGTACAGCGTGATCCCATTTGTGTTGCGTAGAGGTGGAATGTTGCATGGCTTGGGATATGTCTAATTAGCACTTATTGCAATATGTTGTTGTTATGATTGGGATATTTTAGTAGCCTTTATTCTTTTTCCTCTGAAAAAAACCAGGCACAAGTAAAATCGCTTTGTTAATCTAAGAATGAGGTGAGTTTTATTTCTGAAGAAATAGTGTTGTTGTAAAAGCATGTCCCCCAAAGGCAATGTTTTCCATTAAGAATGAAAGATTTAGTGAATGTCCATTAGAATGGGATATCTTCTGGTAATAGGTACTTCCAGCAGCACTTGCACTCACAAGGTTTTTACAGAGCAAATTCTTGAAGATCTTTTGTATTTTTATACCCATACAAACTCCAGTATGTCTCTTATGACATTTTTTTCAGAATCTTGCTTTTCTAATCTTGATCCTTGTTGACCTCACCCCTCTGTCTACTCAGAATATAAGATGGTTTAGAGGGTGTTTTATCAGACTTTAAAACTGCCCAAAAGGCAGTGTATTTTTAAAAATAAATAGCAGAATCCAAATGCTGCTTATTCCTTTTTATGTTTTATGAAATATTTTTAGAAATGGAGAAGGAGGTGGTGGCTAACAGGAATGTTGTGTTTTATGAGAGTATCAACTTCAGTTTTTTGGGTGTTTTTTCCTTACCTTCCTCCTGTAGGTGCTTGTTCCACTTATTATAACTTTTAATTTCATGGAGAATTGCTATCTAGGTTACATTTTCCCCCCAGTTTAAGTGACTAGACTGTGTCTGAGAATTGCAGCCCAGGTGATCCCTCTTCTTCGTCCTCACATTACCTTGGATTT